ATGTATAATCCAGGATCCTCCCCCCATGAGGTCCTGAGCTCACTCACATCTGTGAAGTCCCTTTTGTCCCATAAGGTTCCAGGGATCTTCTGGGGGTCATACTGGGAGGTCCTTATTGTGCAGGGTCCCATACAAATTTCCACAGCCTTCCCTGAGGGCATTCATTAGGAATGTCCTCAGGTCAACTAAGAGAATACCAGGCTGATAGTGGCTTAAATAATAAAGAGAATTTAGTGATTTCCATAAGTAGATGAAGATAGGTCCGTCTAGGATTGGCTGGCAGCTCTAGGGGTCAGAGAACCAGCAGGGGGCTCTGTAAATGCTTCTGGCTTTTTTCCTCGTGGACACAAAGTGGCTGCCAAAGCCCTGGGCATCACATCTTCTCTCTGTGTTCTAAGGCAGGTAGCAAGAAGGCAGCCAGGCAAACACGAGAGAGTGCTCTTAAGTGCCCTCTCCTCTCCTCAGGGAAGGAAATATCTTTTCCAGTGGTTTCTCAGATAATTTCCCATGAAGTATTATTGGCCAGATAACACGGGCCCATCCCAGCTGCAAGGAAGGGTAGGAAGTACAAATCTGGCTTTTGGGGCCTCCGCAGGAAGAAATGGGTAGGGGAGCACCGGGTGGGCATGGTCACTGGGCAATGAGCTGTTGTGCCCTAACCAGTTAGCAGTGAGCATACCGAAGAATGAGCAAAAATTACCAAAAAAAAATGAGCAAAAAGAAGAATGAGCAAAAATCACCAAAAAAAAAAAAAAAAAAAAAAGCAAAAATTACAAAAGTGTGGCTCCCAGGGAAGTCCCTCCTCCCTGCAGGACCAAATCGTAACAGTTCTGGAAAGCAAGTACCTCTTTCCTCTTTAAAACCTTCTGCTCAGCAATGCTCTTAGTTGCTTTGTAAACCTATTCCAAAACTGTCAGAGAGTTACCCTTTCCACTGGACATAATCTACCTTGCATCTTAAGTGTATTATCTCTTCTGTCCCTGAAGGAGATGGAAATATCCAGAAAGCCTTGATCCCCAAACCCATAATAGGCTTGCAAATCACTGTTGGATCACTTTCAAACCCTCCCTCTTCCAGACAGCAAACCCCAGGTTCTTTACGCTTCCGTGTGGGCTGGCCTTCCTAGCCTATAAAGACTCCATGACGCTTGTCCACACCCTCAGTTGACACTTGGTGAAATAGTAATTAGGTGGAATCTCTGGAACTTTATCAGAAGAGTTTCCAATTTCCTCCCCTCCCTGACCTAGAGACCCTGCATCACACAGATCACATCACTAAAGTCATATGCCCCAGATGAGGGAGGGCCTCTTCAGCCAGCGTGAGCCAGGGCAACGTCCGGGAGGAGAGAGCCACGTTGCACCAGCTCCCGGTGGCCTGCCCAGGGAAACCCACGGCTGGAATTATTATAGCCAGGCACAGTGCAGGTGGGAACGAGCGCTCAAGCAGCCCTGCCCTCCAGAAAGACACTGTATGACTCACTGCCCCTCTGCCCTCCCTCTGTGCACTGGTCACTAATCAAACCCATCGAGGCCAGTGTGGCGCCCAGGGGATGTCAGTTCTCCTTCCTTTCTCATCACACTCTCCGGGCCAAAGCATGGCTCAGTGCTGTTTATTAGCTGTGTGACTGTGACTGAGTTACTCAACCTCTCTGAGCCTGTTCCCTCATGGAGGAAAGGGGACTAAAAACGCCTGCTATTATGACATAAAGTGAGGACCGGGTGCATTGATGTTCACAGAGCCCTCCTAGCACACAGTAGGTGCACCGTAAGGGATAAATAATGTCGTGGGATGGAATGAAGGGCAGTGGTGAAAACCAGACATGTTGTGGGGGTCGGGGAGCCATGGGTGAACCCCACCAGTATGGATTGAACTGTGTCCCCCAAGAAAAGATATTTTGAAGTCCTTACCCCCGGCCCTCCTGAATGTGGCCATATTTGCAAATAGAGTCACTGCAGATGTGATTAGTTGAGGTCATGGTGGAGAGGGTGAGCCCCCCCTCCAGCAGGACCGTATTCGTGTGAGGAGATGACAGGGACACTCAGGGATGGGGCTGTATGGCCACGGAGGAAGAGATGGGAGTAGGGTGACTGCAGGCCATGGAACCCCGGGGAGAGGCAGGGAAGTTCCCCCCAAAGTTCTCAGAGCCAGCACAGCCCCATTCCCATTTGATTTTGTGCTTTCTGGTCTCCAGGACTGTGAAACAGTTGATTTCTGTATTATTAAGCTACACAGTCCTTCATCAGGCAGCCCTAGGAAACTAATGCACCACCAGGGCTTCTGACTAGGTGGGAGCAGACACTCCCAGAGCCCTGAGTGCTGGCTCCCAGCCTCTATCTTCCCAGCAGAACAGCACACCGAAGGGAATGCAGGCCAAGCTCTGCCCGCTGGAGAGAGCCTGCAGCCGGCACCTGACTGCAGAGGGAGGCAAAGGCCACCCACCGCCCTGAGATGGGACTGATCTGGCAATCAGGGAAAGTTCCAGAGCTCCCCTGGCACTGGGCCGCAGCTGGACTCCAGCAGAGACCACACCCTGCTCCCTTCTTCTTCTGAGAAGGCACGCCAGTACATCGTGCTCCAAATCCCTGCCTCAGGCTCTGCTTCCAGACTTGGCGGGAGTCTCAGGGAACCTATCATACACACACTATCATACACACACACACACACCCCATCATACACACATTCGCTCACATACATGCACATGCACATCTGACATGTAAAAACACACATGTGTGTGTTTACTATATGGGCACACGTGTACGGATCCAACAGAAATGTACACAGTTGTACCTACCATGTAAAGAAACACGCATTTTAGCCATACTATGTAAAGGTCATGTGTAAATAAGCCAGACACTTCCTCTGGGGACCCCGATCTTCTCTCCCTGCCTGAGTCTGGGTCTGCCTCACTCCGTGCAGCAAGTGGCCCAACCCTCCCACTCACCGTGTCAGCCTCAACTCCAGGCCCAAATTCTGCTGTTCCAAGTCCCGTGGAGCTCACAAACGGAAGAAACCCCAGCCTGGTGGCTTTTCCATCGTGGTAGAAAAATCAGTTGGGCTAGATTTGGGATAAATGTCTTCCGAGCATGGCAACACCCTGGGCCCCAGTTTGAAATGTATGTCGCCGAGGTCATGAATTTGGGGCGTCACTCGGGACGGACAGAAATCTCTTACTGGAGAGGGATGGAGGGTGAGATATTCTTGTGTTACAGGGATGGGACCGACATCTAACTGGGTAGCTCCTCGGTGCTAGGAGCGTTACACCTGTTAATACTGTAAGTCCCTCTGGGAGTTGTTGCAGGTGTGGAGAGAGAGTCCTGTTACCATCAGGAAGCATTTTCTGTGAGTGTGCATGTGCGTGTGTGTGTGTGTGTGTGTGTGTGTGCAGGGCTCTCTGCCCAGCTTCCCGGTCTCACGCTGCTGCCACTCCCCATGGCCCTTACAACCCGTCCACCTTTTGCTTCCTTTTGGTCGAGTGCGAACCGACTCCCCGCACTCACTTTGGTCCTGTCCTTCCAGCAAAAGCATCCATGTGTCCTGGGTCTGAGGCGTTAGCTACCCATCGTCCCAGTCAACATGAGGAAAATTACTTGAAATAAACAGCCTGCCCTCATCTGACCTAAATGTCTTCCCACACGCCCTCAGTGACAGGAAATGTGACTCATGCGTCATCCCATGGTTTGGAAAGTGGCCAGGTGAATGTCGTCTGTGTCGTACATGATGGGCAGGACCCCTATATTAATAATGTCAGCAGTGGGGTCTCCTGAACATGATCTGATTTACTCTGCACAGCCGCTGGGGGAGGCGGATTCTACCAGCCCTTTGCGAAATCACCTAGAGTGGGCCGCATCTCAGTGACCCTGGAGCCAGGACCATCCACCATCATGCTGTAGAGTCCCTCCTAGGCACGGCCATGTGTCTCGTAATCCCTGCCCTGTATCTGACCACAGAGCCCCTACTCATGGTGACCATTGAAAATTGCCCGCAGGTTTTTAAATGCCCTCAGGTGGGGAAGGGCCCCGAGGCTTAACCCCACGTGTCTCCAATCCTCTCCAGTCCTTTTCCCTACGCCACGCCCTCCCCGGAAATGCACCCGCCAGGAGAAACTCTCCTTTTCCTGCTGTCCAGAAGCCAGCTTCAGCCCTTGTGGCCAGGGAGATGGAAACGTTAAAGATAGAATTTGGGGCCGCCTTTTCCACTCGACCTCCCCCATGGTAACCGAGGCAGGGTGACCCCGTAGTTGGCGAAGCTTAGGTTTCAGAGTTGTTTCTTCCCGAGCCCCACGGAGTGTCAGAGTCGTGGGGCTACAGGTTACAGGTAGGAAGACTTGTAATGTTGGCGGGGTGAGGGCGTCATCTTTAAATGGTCTCAGACGGGGACCCTAGCACTCTGGACTCACATCATGTGTTGTCACTTCTCAATCTCAAAAAAAACAAAAACTACCAGCTTCCATCCCAATTCTGTATCTGGACATTGCATATCCTTTAGGAGGACCCCACGCTGCATTCACGTTAGCCCGCAAACCTGGCTCCATCCCCGATCACCCACACATCGGTCGTGGGCTGTCGCAGGGACCTGGGGCAAAGGCGCCTTCTGCCCTCTGTAGCAGATACACATGCTGAGCCTCCCGTCTCTGCTTTCCAGCCCCTGGACTACGAGATCTCCGCCTTTCACACCCTGCTGATCAAAGTGGAAAATGAGGACCCGCTGGTGCCCGACGTCTCCTACGGACCCAGCTCCACAGCCACGGTCCACATCACCGTCCTGGATGTCAATGAGGGTCCGGTTTTCTACCCAGACCCCATGACGGTGACCAGGCAGGAGAACATCTCCGTGGGCAGCGTGCTCCTGACCGTGAACGCCACGGACCCGGATTCCCTGCAGCATCAAACCATCAGGTGGGTGAGCCGCTCTCTACCTGGAGACCGGAGTCACGCAGAAATAGTATTTCTTTTCCGGCTGCAGGACTGGTTGTCAGGGGCGAACTAGCATTAAATTAAATCTGTTAGGGATCTGGGTAAGGAGAAGGTACGTGTCGCAGTGAAGTCTGTGGCTGTTTGTATCAAGACCAGGCTGAGTCCGGGTGGGGGGCCTGCTGCCCCCACACCTGCTTCCCAGCAGTAGACCAGCTCAGGAGGACAGGGACTTCAGGTTGTCTCTCTAAACGGCCAGAGGGGTCTGCCAAGCATCATCCCTGAAAAAAAAAAAAAAAGAAAGAAAAGAAAACACTCTTTAAAAATTTCTGTCTTCATTTCTTAAGCTCTGTCCAGTGCTGAGAAGGAAGGTGTTTTCATGACAAGATTTAATTAAATGATCATTACCCGCGGAGCACGCGGAGACAAGCCGCTCTCCTCGGTGCCGTGCTCCCGAGTAGCCCGAATCCCACATGCAGGCCCAAACGCACGCTTGTCTCCGCAAAAGAAAGTTATTAATCTTTCTCTTCCAAAATCTAATCTTCCTCTCCTAGGAGGAACAGATAATCAAGTATTAGATACACTTCTAATAAACACGGGTCGTATTTTCCTGATTCGAAACACCTGGAAACGTGTCACCGTCTCCGCGCGGCCCCGTTACCGGGGAGCGAGCTGGCCGGCACGCGGCGCACGTTCGTTTCCAATCCCAAAAGGCGATTTACTTTCAGAACAAAACTTTCCGAAATGCCAGACGGACGAGATACAGGCCTGCACTATACCAAATCCAATAATAATGTGACCCTGAAATCGCCGTTCTGTTCTCTGTCTTTGCTTTTCCTGCTGGGTACCAGGCAAAGGAAATACACAATTTAAATATCAAAGAGCAAGTTTTCCTTAAGTCCTGAGACGGGGAAGCTGGTAGCTTTAACGGCCGGTAAGGCGGACGCACTCATTTAGGTTGTCTTTGTGGGAGCTTAACTGTCATTTTGTACTTGTACAACAGGAGGAGGAAGAGACGGCTCTGGGGTGGGGAGAAGGCAAATGTGGAGTTCCGATGGGCCTGTCATTGCTGACTTGGGGTGGCGGGGAGCTCCACCGTCGCTGGGTGACTTGGGATGTCGCCAATCAAGAAGCCTTAACAGGGTGGGGAGGGGCAGATGCGTGGTAGACGGCAACAGCGGGAGAGGCGGGTCTGTCCAGGTTCTCTGTTTTAAGACCAGCTCTGGCCGACTTGGGCAAACTGGGGAATTTGCTAGAAGAGTCACTGCATTGCATATAGAACTAAAGAACATGCTGAGGGTCAGGCCCCGAGACAACATAGGAACTCGGGGCCGTGCTGCGTCTCTAGGGCATGGGAAGGGACGGGCTGCCACTCCCCGGCCTCACAGAGAAGAACGAGTGAACCGCCTCCAACCCTTTCCCACGCTCGTGCTCCTCACCCACGCGGGTTCATGTACCCCAGGTGCGTCTGCTTTGCGTAGCCCACGGTCATGAGCCTCTCAGATCAGGGGACCAGAGCGAATGTTCCGGATGTGGCCGCCCACCACGGCGGGCAGCTGATGGGGAGAGAGGAAGGGGATCCCATCTTGCAGATGGCATGTGGAGCTGGGAATGTGGGACAGGCCTCGGAGAGCTGTCCCAGCACACTGAGGCAGGATTCTGGCTCCGGAGAGGGAGGGCGTGACTGGCAAGAGCCAAGACATTGAGGGGGTGTCAGGACCAGGCTGGGAGCCATGGTGCACAAGGACAAGAATGGGATGCACACGTTCCCCACTGTAGCACAGGCAGAACGTCCGTCTGCGGCACCCACCACGTAAAAAGAGGAGATCAGAGGAAGTGATGTGCTAGTTAATAGATGGGAGACCCGAGGGAAGAGGCAGGAGTGTGGGAAGCTCCAGTCGGTCGTCATAGATCTGACCCTTCCCCGTAAGCTGCCAGTCCCTCTTCCAAGTGGCTCAGCCCAAGATGGCACATGTCAGCCCACGTACCTGAAAGGCGCACGGGCATGAGGGAACCCAGCGTGAGAACTCGGGTGTCTGGCGTATGTTCTTACCGCACCTCTTGGCTGTGCTCTCCCCCCTCCACCCCGGGTCGGCTTCAGCCTCAGCCGTGCCTGAATGGCCACCAGCAGTGCCCGTCCTCAACCCTCCCACCAGGAAGAGATGCTTCCCGATTGAAAGTTCAAGTCCAAGGGCCACACTTGGGTCTCACCGAGCCAACTTGCACACATGCCCTTCTCGGAGGCAAATGGAGTAGCGGGGGGCGGGGGGGGGAGGCGTGCCCACCGTGGGCCCCACGTCCCACCATGATGACCTCAAGAATGCGGGATGCATTTCCCAGGAGTCAGGAATGGGGGCTGAGCCATCAGGAACCACCAAGAGTCACTGAGACCACGTTCAATGTTATGAGTGCCCTCAGGAAATGCCACCGAGGTGTTTCTCTGTGGCTGGTTTACCTACGAGCATTTACAAATCGAGCCTAGCAGTGTCTGGAGTTAACTCTCTTCCAGCCTTGAAGCAAAGTAGATGTGTGTGAGAGAGAGGGGGATTGAGAGAAGGACACATTTCTCTCTCTGGTCAGACTCCTCCCACACAGTCCTTCCCGCTGGGCCCCAGCGTGGCCGGCAGGGCTCCTTTCTGGGCCTGGCTCTCGGCTCCCTCCACTGCGCCTCCCCTGGTGCTGGTCCTGAGCTCATCAGAAGCAGGGACAGCATCACGGACAGGTGCAGCTCTTGTCACCGGAACTCTTCAGGGAAAAATGGTCCATTAATTACTTGCAGCCGTTGATCCTTCCCCTGCCCTTTACCTTTCCTCCCCTTTCTCCCTCCCCCTCCTTCCTCTGACTCTCTCCGGCCACCCTGTCTATCCCTATCAATATTCCATTCCAAGATTCTCTGTGACTCAGCCCCAAGAACCCCATTTTCATCTCCAGTGACTCACCAGGCCCTGGGAGCTTTTGAGCCCAGGGGGAGATGCCCCTGACACAGGTCCTGCCCCAACCCTGAGGGCAGGCTCCTTCCCTGTCAAAGCAGGGAAACCTCCTCCCTAGCCGGAACCCACACCAAACTTACAAACTTTCTAGCCGATTCCCATCCCGGCTGGTGTCCTGTCTCCCGTGATGAAAGGCGCGTCTTGTCTCGGACATGAGGCTGGCACAGCCGGCCCCTGGTGGGCCCTCTTTCATCTCACCAGGAAACAGTCAAGTCTGTGAAAGGCGCCTTGATCTCTGAGAAGCCTGTAACGCTGAAGACAGGAGGTGTCCAGGCATCAGAGTGAGTATTCTCACTAAAAAGCCTGAGTTATTAAAACTTGTTAAAAAGCCCATCGTCTCGCTCTCCGCCGAATCAGAATGGACATCCGCGGGCTGGTGACAACGAAGCTCTTCTTTTTAATGACTTCTATCTCCTTATCCTTATTATAAAGTTAAGATAGTTCATGGAGGAGACTTTGGAAAAGGCAGTTGAGAATAAAGAAGAGAATAAAGAATTGGTAATCATCTCGCACAGGAAATCCCCTCCTAACAATGTGGGTATATCTCTGTCCAATGTCACATGTGAGAAACCTTCCGTTTTTATTACCAGAAATGACTCCCATCACCCGTCCTGTTTTGGAACCTGCCTTGTCTGCTTCCCAGGACATGGTGAACAGCTTCCCATGTCAAGACACGGTCATTGTTAATTGCTTGATGGAATTCTATTATCTTATTACATGGACGCTCTCATTTGTTCATTCATTTCCTTGTTATTAGATATTAAGAGTGTTTCCAATTGTATGCAATTATTTTTTGAAAAGGTCAGTGGACATGCTTACAGCTAAATTGTTGAATGCCTCGTGAATTTCCCGGAGAACTTTTTTAAAATACTTTTCACCCAAAGTATTGGTATTGTTAATGCCTTTTGTCGTAAAAAGAATTCTTCCTTTTTTATACCCATGCAGTCACATTTATATTTTCCCTTGAGATTTGAGTTGATGTCAAGATTAGAAAGCCTCTCGGCTCCGCCTCCCTCACCCCATCCCCCTCTGCGCACCGCAGCCCCAACTCCACGCCCCCAAGACAGGAGCCCAGCATTTCCCCGTGACACTTGTGACATTTGGGTGTCTCTAATAAGGAGCAGACTTTGCAACTGAGCTTGTTGGCTAATTACTGTCAGAAGGAGCAGCTCAGTGATCCTTACCCTACACTGGAAATGTATGACAAATGACAAAATGCCTTTGTCCCACGTTCTCCACCAGTGAAATGAATACCGGGGAGGACCCCTTGGGCCCTGTTGACTCCGTTGCTTTGGGGAGGCAGCCGGCTGCTCAGTCCTTCCCAACAGCCTGAGAGGACTTATCTCATTGTCTTTCACAATAGGGGGATTTCCTTAGGGGCACCCAAATAGCAGTTCCTATTTTGAGCATTTTTTCAGACCGAGCTCATCTTGTCCGGGGTCTACAATAAACCACACTGCAACAGAGGTTCCTGACTACACACTGAATATATAAGCCATGTGTTGAGAAATATCGTTTGTACCGACATGAAATGACCTATCATTGCTCAACATGGTTTTGGAGAAAACATTCATCCAGGGAGCCCTGCAAAGGTGGGTCGAGCAGCGCTGTATCTGTGAAGATTGAGTTTGGCTGAACATAACATGAAAATGAAAAATGACCGTGGCTCAGAAAAGATAGAACTCTTTTTTTTTTTTTTTTTTTTTTGGTCTCCCATAACAGAAGTCTAGAGTAGCCACGGCAGGGCCCAGGGCTCGTATGGCGGTCCCACAAAACTGTCACGGGGTCCAGTCTCCTTCCTGCTCACCACTCGACTACCTCCAGGCTGGTATCCCCTTCCTCATGGGCTGTAATGGTTGCTAGTGTTCCAGCCTTCATGTCTACATTCCAGACAGTGAGATGGAAGAAGGGGGAAGAAGCGCATCGGGTCTCCCGTCTTTTAAGGAAACGTCCTAGAAGTCAGCCCCATTACTGTGTAAATCTCATTAGCCAAAATTAGTCCCATGACCACACCTAACTCCGAGGGGTACCAGACCGTATGGTCATTTAGCTGGGTAGCAACTAGCTTTTGAAACTGGGATTCTTTACAAATTAAGAAGGGAAGAGAGGATGCAGTGTAGAGTAACTAGACGTTTCTGCCATGGGGAACTTTGGGAACTGAGCTTTTCTCCATAATGAAAAACCACAGGGTAAATTTAAAAGGATGAAACCTGCCATGATATTAGATTTCTACACAATCAAAATAATAGATAATCATGTTGCTAAAGACCAAATGCTTGGCAGAGGGAAAGCGCAAGGATTGTCGTTACTGTTCATTCGGTTGCTCAGTTGAACAGTGTTCATTTGGAGCCTGCTGACACCCCGGGGTGCTGTGCTTTCGCTTGTCAATGAGAGCGCCTCTGCCCGCAGCTCCTGGGGAGCTTGCAGTCGTGAGAGCAAGAGCATGTGTCCCACAAAGAAGGCTGGAGGCAGGAGGGCAAGGAAGGAAGGAGGAAAATACATGGTTTCCTTGGGAAGTCAGAACCAGCGGTCGCCAGCTGGGGACAAAGAGCCAGGCAGCAGAAATTGTGTCCAAGCATCTCTGCGGTCCTGAATCCTCCAGAAACCCAGCTCTCCCCATGCCTCTGTGCAGCTCTCCGCCTCCTGGGACCCAGCTGCCCCCCACCTCTGAAACTGGCACCGTCTCCACACCCCCCTGGAGACAGGTGTTTGAGAAAGAGGGCAGTAAGCTTGCTGGTCCCGGGACAAAGTGCCCAGTGTGTTTATATCAACGTGCACCCAAAGCACCTTCACAGGGGGATCATTTATTGCCCATGACCCCACAAATGACACATCATTGGTCTCCCTTTTCACTGATGAGGAAAGCAGAGCTTCGGGGAGCCTCTCAGAGCCCTCCTTCGTGGGAGGAGAGCATGCAGAAGTGTGGGGAGAGCGTCTGGGACTGCTGAGAGCCCACAGTGCCCACGCGTGTGTCCCATTGAGGCGGGCTGGGCGTCACCTCTGTAGGGGATGGGGGGACTGCTCTGACCTCGGGACTGTGCTCCCTGGGCATCTGGACATGTGCTTTCTGGACATCTGGCACTACCCTCCTGACGCCTTACTGTCATTCCTGCCCTAACCCTCCATCTTCTCACAGATCCCGGGCGCTGGGGGGTGGGGTGGGGGGAGTAGCAGGAGGGTAACCATCCCTCCCTGATGAAGTCACATCAGTTCTATCTCAGAATTAGCACTTGAGGCCCAGCACGTGGCCCTTCCGATTCTCCAGGGGGCCTACAACATGTCAGGGACCCGAACGCATAATCCGTTGTCTCCACAGTTGGAAAAGAAAAGAACAAAATCTAAATGAATAGACCTCGAACATCCGGAGAGAGCATCGTGGCGACACGACCATGGTCAACTTTAAAGTCGGCAAAAACATCTGTTTGCAGCCCATTCGCAGATCTCGCCTTGCTAGAGAAATCCTAGGGGATTATTAATGAAGTATTCCTGATAGCTCAATCATGCCAAAGGCCAAAGTGATCTCAAAACTTTCACGGGACCAAAAAATGTATTTGGCCTGTGGGTACATGCCAGGATATCTGCTAGGGCTTGGGAGGAGGCCACCAGGGACAGAGAAGACTCATCGAAGCTGAGAGTTCCTGAAATATAGCCCCAGCCCAGCCTGGGCCAGGCAGACAGAGGTGCTCGGTTAGTCGGCACGGCCTGGAGTAATGGCAGCTGCCTCGGAGGTGTCTGTGTAGAAGCATGTCTGTGCGTAAGCAGACATGCTCTACTGCCCCTTCCAACGCTGACTGATGTCTACCAACCATGACATCAGCAAGTGGCCTTGTTTTAAACCAATCCCAGGAGTGAGGCCCGTGCAGGACAGACAGGCCTCCGACAGGGCTTCCTGACTCCACGAGGGTCACAGTCAAGAGCCATGGCCATGGCCGTCAGCTGCCTCTTCCTCCCATGCCTTGATCCACACTGAGCCTATGCTCGAAACTCGGACTATCTGAACCCGATCCAAAGTAGAGCCTCACCTCTCTGAAAACTGCAGCCCTCTTTGTCCCAATTTCTTTGGGTCTTTTGAAAGTCCTTTCCCTTCTTCTCCCCGCTTTTGGACGTGAAGGCCTTTTAGCTCCACGGTGGAATTCATTCCTCAAGCTGCTACAGAGCACAACATGCAGTGATGAGAATCCAGCGCCCCCCACAAGACTCGTTAAAATGCCCAGTTTCAGATTTGCCTGTGAGTCAAGTCCTTTTAACACCTTGTTTAATCTAATGTTGGAGACCATTCAGAGAAATGAGGGGAAATCAAGGGAAAATCACAGGCTGTCTATGGGACATTTTGTTCTAAGATCTTTAGAAGTAGATGTCAAAAATCAGTCTGCTTGAAAGTTGGGATTTTGTCATCACAGGCCTTCTCGGGAACACAGAGGCTCGAAGTGTATGGTAGCCTCCCATTTGTGGGGAGGGGAGAAGGGGGGTTTCAGACTCCTTGTTTTGCCAAGAACAGATTTCAAAACCAGATTTAAGAGTTTAATTTGGGGTGACTCCCACCTGTTAAATTTTAATCAGGAGTTAAAGGCTAAAAAATAACATTTCTACCTGGGGAAATTAAAAGAACCTCCCTCTACTCAAATATATTATTAACACTTCATCTTAATTAAATGTGGTTACTGACCTCAATAACGGGATTTGGGGTGAGGTCCTTTCTGTTTCGCTTTGTTGAATGAATTCTTTCCCCAGTCAACAAACACAGAGCTTGAAATGCAAATGAATTGTTTACAGTGGTGCCTTTGTAGCTTTTATTAAAGTGATGTTCTTCCATTGCAATTTTATGGTGGCAATACGTTTTATCGCCTGCTCTGGCTGTAGAGTTTTTAATTATTTATGTAAATATATTAGCACAGCTGACTCTTATTTTTAGTGGTCAGATTTTCTGTTAGGAAGATGCCAGGGGGAAACAAGGTCTAATAAATTAAACAACCGAATGTTTAAAGATTTAACATCTTCAGTGGCGAAAAATAGAATTCTGGCTTTTATGACGATCCAGAGATGGGAGATTTTCGTTATTAACCTCAATTAGAGGTGCTCCGTTCGGTTAATATGAAAGAGCTGACCATTTGGAACAACAGTTGAAAGGTTATTTTATAATCCAACCACCTTTTTAACATCCGTCTCCACGTGTTGTTGTAAATTTGCCACGGGCCAGACTCTCATTACTGAAAGCATGGTTTCAAATTGGTTATATTTGAATATAATTAAGATGGTCCTTCTTGTCAGCCTGAGAAATTAATTCTCGGGGCCAACATGGGAAATACTGACAAACGCTAATATTGTTTCTCGCCCACTGTTTTCTCTAAGCTGTTCACTCTGCTGCGCTGGGTGGTTTTGTTTTGTTTTGTTTTGTTTTATTTTAATAAAGGCATTTGAGATAGACCAAGGTTGCTGCAGAAGCTACCAAAAAC